CAACACCAGATCTGGTTCGGTGAACACCATTTCTCCCTTTTTCCCTTTCTCTTTCATCTTCCTTTCCTTTATGCCTTCTGCAAACCCAACACAGATTTGGGTTTGGTGAATCCCATTTCTCTCTCCCTTTTTCGCTTTCTCCTTCTCTTTCATCTTCCTTTCCTTTATGCCTTCTGGAAACCCAATAGCTGCTAGGGTCAACTTCGAACCTAGCAACTGCTAGGTTCCATTTCGAATCCAACACAGATCTAGGTTCAGTGAACCCCATTTCTCTCTCCCTTTTTCCCTTTTTCCCTTTTTCTTTCATCTTCCTTTACTTTGTGACTTTTGCAAACCCAATAGTTGTTGGGGTCGATTTCGAACCCAATAGCTATTGGGTTCCTACTAGGTTGATGGAACCTAGCAAGTGTTAGGTTTGAAATCGAACAAGCACTGAGTCTAATTTCAAACCCAACAGCCACTAGGTTCGAAATCAAACCCAGCACCTACTGGGTCGATGGATCTGCTAATTTATTAGGGATGTTCAATTAGCACGCGCTAGGTTGGAAAGATGCTTTAGTTGTGTTTTTTTTTTTTTTTTTTGTAGAAATTTGGGAGAATATGCCTTGATTTTTTTGGATTTTTTGGGAGGCTGAGAGAAAGAATCTGGATTTATGTTTGTGTTATCAACAGGGGTTGGGTTCGAAAGATGCTTTAGTTCTTGTTTTTTTGTAGAAATTTGGGACGAGATATCTTGATTTTTCTCAGTGGTTGAGAGAAAGAATCTAGGTTTATATTTGTGTTATCTCTGGATTTAATATTAGAAGGTTTTAGGGTTTGCAGAAGGTGAAATGAGAGGAAGAGGAAAAAGAAAGGGAAAAGGGAAAAACAAAGGAAGAAAAAAAAAAAGGAAAAGGAAATTTTTTAAGATATTTTCTTGACATGTCATTGTTTTTGCCATGCCATACATCTTATGTGTTAAAATACTTTTCCATGTCATCTTTTTTCTTGTCAAGTAACAAGACACATAGGCAGATATTTAACAGAAGGACCAAGTTGGGATAAAAATAGTAAACATAAATGATCAAATCAGAAATTTTTTGAGTTGAAAAACTAAATTAGGGATTCGTACAATAGTTGAGGGACCAAAATGAGGTTTTAAAATAATTTTTTTAAGAGTCATTATTGATATATATTTTTCTTATTAAATTTAATTAAAATATAATATAATATTTATACTTAAAATTTATTTAAAAAATATGAATTTGATATAAAACTTTATACAAATTTAATTCCAAATATTATAATTAATGAATTTAATAGATATATATCCTTAAAATACAAATTAGATACATTTTTTTAATTTTATTAATAAAAAAATATTTTACAAAATAAATTATATATTAAAAGTAAATTTTATTTTTTATCAAAAAATTATAATTTATTTTATAATTTTATTAAAATATTCTTAATAAAATTATTTTTATGTTACTTCATTAAAAATATTTTAATAAATTTATAAAACAAACTATATTTTTCTTATATAATCTAAATTATAATTCATAATTTTTTTAAATTATTTAATTCAATTATTTTACATGATGGAGCTCAAAATGTTTTAAGTAGACTATTATATAATTTTTTATAGGTTAAATCCCCTTTTTGGTCCCTCAACTATTGTACGGACCCCCGATTAAATCCCTCAACTCAAAAAATCCCTGACTTGGTCCCTACTGTTTACCATTTTTACCTCAATTTGGTCCTTCCGTTAAAAATCTCATTACTTATGCTGTTAATTCACTGTTATAGGGTGACCTGGCAACATATTATACACGTGGCAACAAAAATAATAATATAAAAATAAAAATAATATGAAAAATAAAACTTTAAAAAATTCTTTCTTTTTTCTTTTTTTCTTCTCTTTCCCATTCTCTTTCCCCTTTTCTTTACCCTTCCCCCCTCGGAAACCCATCAGCCACTGATGGGTTCCTCGGAACCCAGGCGTTGGGTTTCTTGGAACCCAGGCCTGGGTTCGTTCAAAGAACCCAGTAAATGGGTTCGAACGAACCCAAGCTCTGGGTTCCAAGGAACCTAGCGCTGGGTTCCACGAACCCAGGCTCAAGGAACCCAGCTGGGTTCGCCTGGGTTCGTCGAACCCAGCCCTGGGTTCGAAAGAATCGAAGACGCCGTGGGAGGACGAACCCAGGCGTCCTCCTGGGTTTGTTCGAACCCAGGAAGACGCCTGGCTTCCTGGGTTCAAACGAACCCAAGAGCAAAAAGTAAAAAAAAAAAGAGATTTTTTTTTTTTTTCTGTTTGTGGATCTTGTTGTTTCATGATGATGAAGGAATTGATTGATGAAGAAGGCTAGGCAAGATGAGGAATTGAGAACTGGGAATGGGGAAGAAAGGGGGAGAAGAGTTCAGGCTTTGTAGGAGGTGGGCCCACTCTTTCTTTTTTTATTTTGGATCCGAATCATACTACCATGTCATCTTTTTTTTTACAGGTGTGCATGAGGTGTCATTCTATTTTGACACATCATCATGCTTCAGTTAATTAACCGGACACGTCATTGAATTTTTAACGAAGGGACTAAATTGGGGTAAAAATGGTAAACAGTAGGGATTAAATCAGGAATTTTTTGAGTTGAGGGACTAAGTCGGGGGTCTGTACAATAGTTGAGGGACCAAAATGGGGGTTTAACCTTTTTTATATAAATTAATAATAAAAGAAGCAATAAATACCGCCATGAGTTGTGTCACTGTGTGTACTTAATATATTAAACAAACCCTAAAAAAAAAATCATCTGATCATACAGAGCCCACCGTCACAAAACCCAGACAATTAATTTTACTCAAAACCTCCGCCCCCTTTTTTTTTTTTTATACAGAATGCTCCTTGAGAATTGTGCCTTGAGCCGTTCAGCCTATTTATATTACGCCCTAAAATTTCCTCCGATTGTCCTTCCAACTCTTCCGTTTCATCTACATTCAGGGCGCCGACAAACCAAATGGAGGGATTCGGGTCGGGTCAGAGGCGGTGTGGTGTGGAGCGGAGGACGGAGATTGTGAGCGGGAAGATCTCTGGCGTGGGAGGACCCAATCAGATCTACGCGACTCGTTCTTCCAATGCGCCGCCGGTTCCGGCTCGGACGAGTTGGTCGAGTCAGGGAGTGCCGAAGCCGTGGGGATTTAGCGATCCGGAGATGAAGAGGAAGCGGAGGATTGCCAAGTATAAGGTGTACACTGTGGAAGGGAAAGTGCAGGCTTCCTTGAGGAAAGGCCTCCGTTGGATCAAGAATAAGTGCTCCCAGATCGTCCATGGTTACTAGACAATCATACTCTGCGGCTCTGATTTTTTACAGGCGGGATTTAGCGGGACCCGAGAATGATGTGGCAAGATCTTGATGTAATGGATTAGATGGTCTTTTGACATTTTCTGGACCTTTTTTTTTTTTTAACTTATTTACTTCGATTAATTCTTGTTATTTGATTTTTAAAAATTTTTTAGTTTATGATCATAGGGACTTACAATCTAAATTTGAAGCATCTAGGTTACTTTGATCATGTAATTTGGTTTTAGTATGAACAATACTTTTATTAAATTCATAATTCTAATTACACTTTTATTTTATTATAATTCAGTCTAAAAAAATGTCATTCTCATTGCTTTTTTTTTATTTTAAATAAAATTTTTTTTTAACATGTGCTCTTGCACAGGTTAAAAATAGGTTTTATAATAAATTTATATAAAAATATAAAAAT